GGAGAGAGAAAAACATCATTGTGAAAGAGACACATCGATTAGTTGCCTTCCACATGCCCCCCAACCAGGGCTGGGCATCGAACCTGTGACCCAGGCATGTGCCCTTGACCGGTAATGGAACCAGAGACCCTTCTGTGTTTGGGCTGATGCTCTAACCACTGAGTACACTGGCTAGGGCTTTTTAGTTTGATACTGTCCTACTTGTTTATTTTTGCTTTTGTTACTTTTACTTTGGGTATCAAATCCAAAAAATCATCACCAAGATAGATTTTTAAGGAGTTTACCCCCTATGTTTTCTTCTAGGAATTTTATCATTTTAGGTATTATGTTCAAGTCTTTAATACATTTTTAGTTGATTTTGTGTGGTGTAAGATAATGATCCAGTTTTATTCTTTTGCATGTGACTGTCCTGTTTTCCGAACTATTTATTAAAGAGACTATCTTATTTTCCCATTGTATATTCTTGGCTCCTTTGTTATAAATTAATTTGCCATGTATGCATGGGTTTATTCTTGGGCTCTCTGTTCTCTTCCATTTACTTACGTGTATTTTTATGCAGTACCATATTGTTTTGATTATTATGACTGTGTAATATAGTTTGAAATCAGGAAGCATAGTATCTCCAAGCATTGTTCTTCCTTTTCAAGATTGCTTTGGCTATTTGGGGTCTTTTGTGGTTCCATATAAATTTTAGGGTTGTTTATTCTATTTTTGTGAAAAATGCGATTGGAATTTTGATATGGGTTGAACTGAACCTGTAGATCACTGTGGGTATTAGGATCACAATATTAGTTTTTCTAATCCATGAGCACAAATTATCTTTCCATTTATTTTTATCTTTAGTTTCTTTCATCATTGTCTTAAACTTTTCACTGTACAGATCTTTCACATCCTTGGTTAAATTTATTCCTAGGTATGTTATTCTTTTTGAATTGATTGTACATGGGATTATTTTCTTAATTTCTCTTTCTGATAGTTTGTCACCAACTGTTTTTGATTAGTATTTGCCTAGTATGATTTTATTCCCCATCTTTTTAACCTGTGTTTTTATATATAAGTGAGTGTCTTATAGAAAGCATATAGTTAGTTCTTGCTTTTATAATCAGGTAGACAATTTTGGCTTCTTAATAAGAATGTTTAGATCACTTACATTAAATGTAACTATTGATCTTTTGGGATTTAAATCTACCATCTTGATATCTGCTTATTATTTATTCTATTGACCTTTCTTGCTGTCTTAGTATTCCATTTTTAAAAATCTCCACTACTAATTAATTAACTATACCTCTTTTTTTAAAGTGGTTGCATTAGTGGTTAACATATGCAGCTTTAATGTATCACAATCTATCTTCAAATACAATGGGCTACTAGCAGCAAAAATGACAGCAGAGAAAAGTAGATATCTAAGTGATTAGAGAGAGTAGAGAGAAGAAAGATAGATTAGCAGAGGGAATGCTAGTTTTTAGAAGTGGTGATAAATATATGTCATAGATTCTCTGACATCGAAGCGGGATAGAGCCAATGATAGGTAGTGTAGAAAGTAAAATATTAGTGAGATGGAGATTTAATGGGAAATGGCTACTTATACAACCCTTGAAGCCATAGTACATCTCTACTTGTTTCCACATCTGGGTGTGTTTTCATGCAGTCATCTACATTATGCCTTTTTAAAACATTCCTGAAAGTTCAGTTATCTTGAGGAGTGAGGGTAGGTGTATATGTTTATAATAGAGAAAGGGTATACTCAAACAACTGCCTCTGATGACCCTCAGCAATTTCAAAAAGCATCACTGAATTCTCATCAGTTAGTTTGGACTGGGAGTCACTGTTTTCAGCTTTTGAACCTACATCTGTATACAATATGTCAAAATATTCTTAATGATCTCAAGTTATCAAATACATTTTATGATGAACTTTAGTTTAAGGAGACAGGAAAAGTGTTTTTTGTTTTTTGTTTTAAAACAATCACTTTTTTTTACAATGATTTCTACCACAAAAATTGGATTTTTAAGGCTAGAGAAGGAATAGTTTTTCTGATATAAAGGAACAGTCTAGAAAAGTGAGTGATTCAGAAGAACTTATTCCCACTTTGTTATGTATTTAATTTAGAAAGTACCTTACTTACCATGTTTGCTTCATAATGTTTTCCTTAATGTCTGGCTCATTTTCCATTCCCTTTACTATTCTTTAGATCTGATACTGAACTTTATGATTAAGTCTTTTAACATTGTAATAGGTTTTTTTCTTGAAGTTTATACAGAAAAATTTTCCTTTTATTTTTACCAGCAGAAAGTATAAAAGATCAAAATCAACATATTGTGAACAAGCAATACGAGAGAGAAAGGCAAAAACTTGCTTCTGGAATAGAAGAACTGCGTACGAAGTTGATGCAAATAGAAGCTGAGAATTCGGATTTGAAAGTTAACATGGCCCACAGAACTAGCCAGTTTCAGCTGATTCAAGAAGAGCTGCTAGAGAAAGCTTCAAACTCCAGCAAACTTGAAAGTGAAGTAAGTTTGAATTAACTGTTTATATGTACTAAATTTTCATGTAAGAAAAAAGATATTGTAGGTTTTACTAAAAATTGTATGGTTAAGTCCAGTTTTATGCATTTAAAAAAGTAAACAGGACCACATAAGTTATAAATTCTTTCTAAAACTATATTTGGAAACCTTTGCATTTTAACCTATGTTAAAAGCAGGAAAATATACTCTAGTGCCCTAAAAGGTATAAAATTTGGTGGAACTTACACTGTGCTGTACTCAGTTTCTTCTAAGTATAAGTTAATATGGATAATACACATGTACAAGGAAAGTATTTGGATTATGCAGTTGAAAGAAAAGTAGTGGTAATAGAAGATTTCAAATTTTAGCAAACAGCAGAACCACCTGAGAAGCCTGTTAAACATGCAGATTTCTAGATCCTATCCTAGTGATTTTGACTCAGGAAATATTGAGTAATGCTCAGGACTCTGCATTTTTAAAAACTGCATGTGAATCTGGTCCAGATATGCTATGGGTTACATTCTGAAAAGGGGATAATGTGTGTATTGTATCTGGTCTTCATTTCCTGTGAGGACAGAACAAGGATGCCTCATTCAGTCCTTGTGGATCCAGATCACTTGTGTATGTTATGCTCAGCCTTCAAACCAGGGGCTGCAGCTATCTATGGGGACACTTTTTAAATGTCTGAATTCTCATCTTAAAGTTTGAAGCCAAGAAAATGACCTGTGGAATAAGAGCTTGCTTAAGTAATGGGAAAGGAGATTTAGTCTGTAATTACAGCTTTAACTTACTTAGAAAATTGTCAAGTACTGAGATTAATAACTTTTTAAAAAATTATAAAATTAGCACAGTCTTGTTGAAAATAAAGGGACAAAGAAAAAATAAGTCGTTGCTAATTATACCACCAGAAATAAACTATTGTTAACCTTTTATTATACTAATTTTAGTCTTTAATAGCTACTTTTAAGAAATGGGTTAGGGGGCAATCCTACTTGGACAGAAGGCGTCTGAATTAAACTACTTATGTATTACATAGATGGAACAAGCTGTGTCATATCTGTTGTCTACCCTCCATTATTTGTTTCTCTTCTAAACTGTAACTTATATTTTAAGGTAATTTTTTAAAAACAATTTTCATTTTTATCTGTTTTCAGATGACAAAGAAATGTTCTCAACTTTTAACTCTAGAGAAACAGCTGGAGGAAAAAATAGTTGCCTATTCCTCTATTGCTGCAAAAAATGCAGAACTTGAACAGGAGCTTATGGTAAAAATTATTATTATTTTTTTGCTACAAATTTACCGTGACTTTAAGGCACTTAATTCGTGACATGTTTGTTTTAGTATCATTATAATAAAATGTACTATGTAGGAAAGTATAAATTCTGCTAAACTCTTCCCTTTACTCCTTTTTTGTTCCTATATTTTTAGGTTAATAGGCTTATATGCAACTGTTATTTACATTTCCTCATTTTTATCCTAGTAGAGTTAAAGGAAATAGTAGTAGTTCTTTGATATTCTCAGTATTTTAAAGTAGTTTAATTTTCTCATATTGATACAGTTTTTAAGATAACCAATTTGTCTTTTTCATAAGTATTTTAAATATTTTTGAACTTTGACATATTTACTACTACGAATCTTTAAAGAATAGTATCACAAATTTAATGCTTTAGTAATGGACTTTTATGTAAAACTAGCTCTCAATTATATTCTTTTTAAGTGTTTTTGTATTCCTAGGAAAAAAATGAAAAGATAAGAAGTCTAGAAACCAATATCAATACGGAACATGAGAAAATTTGTTTAGCTTTTGAAAAAGCAAAGAAAATTCATCTTGAACAGCATAAAGAAATGGAAAAGCAGATTGAAAGAGTAAGATATTAATATTTTTACAAGTAGATATAATGTATATTTAGAATATGGATGCTAATAATTACCTTAAACATTATTAACCCAGCTTTCTTTTTTTAATATATGAGGAAATGAAGACATAGAAAAGTTACTGGCAAGTACTATAATTAGAATCCCATTACTTTTGGATCATTTTTAAATGCTTTCTTATATAGTACTTCTGCCATTTCAGTTTTAATCATTATTTTTTTACATTACCTAACTAAGAGGGATTCTATAGACTCTTTTCCACTAGAGATATTAGTTGCTTCAAGATTGGTTGAGAATAGAAGCATTCTTAACCGTGGATGAAAAATAAATAATAAAAACAAAAGTAAAGAAAAAGATGTGCCCTGGCTGGTGTGGCTCAGTGGTTAGCGTGTCAGCCTGTACACCAAAGGGTCTTGGGTTCAATTCCTGGTCAAGGGTACATACGTGGGTTGTAGGTTCAATCCCCAGCCCTGGTTGGTGCACGCGTAGGAGACAACCAATTGATGTGTCTCTCTCACATTGATATTTCTCTCTCCCCCTTCCTTCTTCACTCTAAGATACATTAAAAAAAATTTACAAACTTTAAAACAAAACAAAAACACCTTTTTTACAATAATACTAGCTTTCGTAATTGCCCATATATTTACTTTCATTGAGATTTTCATTTCTCCATACAGCTTCAAGTTACTGTCTAATGTCTGTTCATTTTTCATATTGCAGAACTCCCTTGAGGATTTCTGGCAGGGCATATCTAGTGGTCACAAACTCCCTCATCTTTTATTTATCTGAGATGGTCTTAATTTCTTCCTCACTTTTGACAGTTTTGCTGGATATAAGATTCTCTTTTTTTTTTTAATATATCTTCATTGACTTCAGAGAGAGGAAAGGAGAGGGAGAGAGAGACAGAAACATCAATGATGAGAGAGTCATTGATCGAGCCCACAACCCGGGCACGTGCCCTGACCGGGAATTGAACCCGGATCGCCTGGATCCTAGGTCAACGCTCAACTGCTGAGCCACACCCGGCTGGCTGGATATAAGATTCTTAGACAGTTTTTTTCTTAGGATATGTCAGCCCCCTCTCTTCTGGCCTTCAAAGTTTCAGATGAGAAATCTGCTTATAATCTTATTGAAGATCCCTTGTATATGATGATTTGCTTATCTCTTAACTGTTTTTTAAGATTCTTTATCTTTGTCTTTTGAAAGTTTGATTATAATATGTCTTGGTGTGGGTTTCTGAGTTCATCTTACTTAGAGTTCATTGAGATTCTGTTTTATATTCATGTCTTTTGATATTTTCAGTCATTATTTCTTCAAATATTCTGTGTC